TCAAGTACTGTAGGGAACTCCTTGGCAGCTTCCTGCCTCATAACTCACAGACATGAATATTTTAAAAATTAATTAATTTTTAATTGACAAATATTAATTGTGCATATTTATGGGGTAAAATATTTTGAGCTATATGTACATTGTAGAAAGATTCAACTGAGCTAATATATTTATTGTTTCACTGACTTAACCTTTTTTTGTAGTGAGAATGTTAAACACCTATCCTTTTAGCCATTTTGAATTAGACACTATTGTTAACTGTGGTTATTATGCAGTACAATAGATCACTAAAACATATTCCTCCAGCCTAACAGTAACCTTGTACCCTCTGGTCAACATCTTTCCTTTTCCCATCCCTCCCCTAATTCCCACTTACCTGCCTCTGGTAATCACCTTTATACTTTTTTTCTATGAGATGAGCTTTTTTTTTTTTTAAGATTTCACATATGTGGGGTCCTACAGTGTCTGTTGTTCTGTGACTGGCTTGTATCACTTAGAATAACGCCCTCCAGTTCCACCCATGGTGCAGTGAATGACAGAGTTTTCTTCTTTGTTAAGGGTCTATAGTATTCCACTGTGTGTATATACACTGTTTTCTTTATCCATTCATCTGTTGAAGGACATTTAGGTTGCTTCCATATCTTGCCTATTGTAAATAATGCTGAAATGAACATGGCAGTGAAGATGTCATTAACATACTGATCTCAATTCCTTTGGAAATATACTCAGAAGTGAGATTGCTGGATCATATGATAATTCTATTTGTAGTTTTTTAGGAACCTCCATACAACTTTCCAAAATGGGTATACTAATTTACATTTCCACTAACAGTATACCAGGGTTTCCTTTCCTCCACATCCTCATCAACACTTATCATTCGTCTTTTGGTAATGTCATCATTTTCTCACCATTTTCAATTGTGATTGTCTTTATTACTTTAGCTCAATCACAATTCTAGTCCTCTTTTTATGGAAAGTGTCAACATTCCTATTGCTTCAGCCCCTGTTAGCCTATGATCAATAATATTCATGTAATACCTCAAATTAAGCAGTATAGAGCAAACATATCCTATTTAATAATATAAATGACTCACCCCACATGCTCAATACTGGGCTTTATCGGACAAAGTTGACTTGCTTCTGTTGAGTGGCTTTTAAAAAACTATGTTAGTAAGTTAAAAATCTAAAGTTTTTGACTTCCTACCCTGGATGAAGGACACTTAAAAAGACTTCCTTCCTCTGCTCCCAGAGAAAGCAGTAAATTTTTCCACCTTCACTACACCACTTGAGGACTATCCCATGCTTTATTGGGTATAGGGAGCAAGGGTCTTGCTAATGAGTTACTTCCACTGTGTCATGTCTATTTTCAGTGCTTTAATTTATTAAACAATTTGAGGACCCCATTTTTATGCTAGGGCTTCACTGATCGAATCCTGGAGCCACCACATTGTCTATATTAGAGGTGTTTCTAAAGTTCTCAGCATCTTAAGTCCCTTGTTAGCGTGTGTGGAGAGTCAGCGGGAAAACTCGGTACATAACAGGGTTTCCACCAAAGGCTGCTGTCCAAGGAGCTTCACCAAGAAGAGCAAGCGAACTAGGCTGTACCACCCTTCTGGTTCAGCCCCGACATTCCAGGGCCACGCGGATAAGTCAAAGGCGGGAAGAAGACGCTCTGTGGGTGGACGAGGCGCCGGAATTTCCCACTTCTTTACCTCCACCACGACTCCCGCCCTACGCCCACCGCACTCCCGACGGACAGCCAGCCGCGCCCGCCCATGCGGTGACGTCATCTCGCGGCGGCCTGGCACCCCGCCCATAGAGTAGGAGCCGGAAGCCCGGCGGGTCCTGGCGCGCCTTGTCCCGGAAACCCAGGAGCCGGAGAACTCGCGCACCTGGAGGAAGCCGGCAGGAGATGGCGGGCATGCGCGGGGCTGCGGTGGCGCAGGCGCCTTGAAGCGCCCGCCGGTCAGGAACCGGTTCTCCGAGTCCGAGGTGGCGGCGCCTTGTGTGCTGTGCGGGCTGCGCGGGAGCCTGGGGAGGAGGAGATAGGGAGGGAGCCTGACTCTTGGGAAGGGCAGGCTTGCTTGCCTCTGGCATAGGGAGGGACCGGTGCACGGATCCTGCTGTGCGTCTGTGTCGGGCGCGCCCCGGTAGTCTGTGTTGCATATATTAGAAGATGAACTCAAATAACATGGGCAGACAAAGTGCGATGCGTTTCCCCTAGAACACTCGTAGAATGCACGCCCAGAGCCAGTTCTCCCCGAGGGATGGCAACGCACCTGTGTGCCGGGCTTCGGGCAAGGGCTTTTCCTGGTCTTTTATTCTCCCGCTGAGGCTAACAACCCTGTGTGTGTGGGGGGTGGGGGGGGTGGGGGGGGCATTTTTGGATCCCCAATTTAAAAGTAGGGAAACTGAGGACAGATTAACCTGTCTACACGTAACACAGCTAAAAAGTGGTGGAGTTGCTGTTTCTTTCAGTTTTGCCTGATTATAGAGCTAGCTCGATGCTGCCCATCAGGTGTTTGAAGTCATTATTTGGTGAAAATGGGACGGTGAAGACGTTCTGTTAAAAAAAAAAAAGGCACATCATGAGGTTTGGACTTTAAGAGGTATAGGCTGGCTGTAGGAGTCGGGGCTGTAGGAGTCGTAGGTGCCAAGGAAACGGGCCTCAGGGTAGATTTTGAATGGGATTTGGCTAGAGGGAAGATGAGAAAGCTTTGGGGTAGTGAGAACAAGGGAAAGGAAAGGGAAAACAAAAGGGTGGAGGTGGGACAGGAAACCTGGGGAGAAAGGTAAGCGGTTGCCTCACTTGGAGTCTTGTGTTTATGTTTGGCTTGCAAATAGAAGCATGTATAATTCTTTTATTGGAAAGGAATGGATTTTCTCCTTTCTGTTCTTAGGTTTATGCTATGATGTACAGTGACACGTAACTTCTGTTCAGCAAGGTGAATTCCAGCTATTCATGGAACAGCTGGAAACTTCTGTACCTGTGGCAAAGATGATCTGCGGTGGAGGGTTTATTCCTGGCCTCTGGCCTGCCTGACTATGGTCTCTTTAGTTCTTGCCGGTTCCCTAGTTCCTTTCTGGTTCCAGTAGTTAGAGGAATAAACGTAACTCCAAAGCCAATACCCTCTCAGTGTCAATACCCTCCCTATCTTTAAAAGAAGAAAAAAAATACTAAATCATCTCTGTTTAAAGAAGCCTGGCCCCTGTGATTTGTTAATTTGTTCGTGGTTTTATACTGTTACTGCTTTAACACAGTTTGCACTACACCATTTAGGAACTGATTACTACCTTGTATTAGCCTCTAATTGTTTAATGGGTGTATATTTTATCTCCCTAAAAAGATTGCAAGACGCCTCTGTCAAGGACTGTGCTGTTTATCTCATAGCCCTGACTGCTGACTTAATTGCCGTTTTCAAGTGTCTGGTTCTTTGCTGAACCCTCACGACTCAGTACCCTGCCTGGCACATACTAGGCACTCAGTAAACATTTAATAAATGAAATAATGCCTCCTGGAGCGCAGGAACAAGCCTGTTATTTATATTCTTCTGGTCCCCTAGCAAAATTATCTTCTCTGATGGGTCCTCAGCACTCTGGTGTGACTTCATCGCTGTGCCTTTTAGCAGGGGAAATATAATCTCCCTGTTGCCCTATAAAGAATTGCCACCTGGACACCATGCCCACAAGAAGTCTGCTGAGAAATAATTGTTGATAGATTGACTTAGCCTCAAAGGCATCCTTGATTCTTTTCTAAAGTGTGCATCTGCCCTTCCACAATAAACTTTATTTGTGGTTATCTTGGCCAGGCTGCCTAAGAAATACTTTAGGAGAATGTAATTTGAGTATCTTCTTGACTTGGGAAAGCAAGCAAACAAACTAATAAACAGAATCAACCAACAACAAAACCCAATAGCAAAAGGACCTTTGTATTTAAGAACCCTATCTGCAAATTTTTAACAATTTTGTGCCCCTGGGAGAGAGAATGCCTCCTTGTGTGTAAACTTCCAGGGCTTTTAATTTATTTGAGATTACATTCAACGTTTCCTTTTATATTCGAACGGAGGTAGCCTTAAAAAATATGCTGGCAACTAGTTTGGATGAGAAAGATTCCGGTTCTTTCTTTATCCAAGCCAATTAGACTGGGTCTGAGCAGGATTTACAAGAGAGAGCAGATCTTGGGTGCACAAGAACTTTGCTTCATTCCAGGTTGGCGAAAACAAGTCTATCCCAATGTTCTGTCAGCCGGTTCAGGTTAGAGCAAAGACGTGATGGGATAGGATGGGGGTGGGAAGGTGATGAGTTCAGGTAAATGTCTGAACCTAGGAGAGTCAGAAGCTAGAGCAGATTCCCTCAATCGGCCCTTTCAGTGGCTGCTAAATCTGGCTCATCTCCCATGAATTAGCTGTGGGACACTGGGGACGAGTTACTTCACATTTCTGGGACTTCGTCTCCTGATTCGTAAAATGGGTATGATAAAGGATAATTTGGAGTTACAGCGTGTAAATGTTTAAGGCGGTTACAGCGATGCCTGGTACACACTCACACATAGCACGCGCTTTGTGAAATGTTTGGCAAGTAAATAAAGCGCTAGGCTAGGCTAACCGCGTCTACATAGCCAGCCGCTTGAAATCCTCACATATATTGAAATTACGGGGACGCCGCTATTTTCCGATTGCAAGATTTTCCTGACCCACGCAATTACTTTTTCTGCCCTCCGCGGGGCTGTAACTTGCCCTCAGAATGTGGGACGTCTGGACTCTTCTCCCCGCCTCTAGTATCCCCCTACACCCCCTCGCGGTGGTGACGTGCATGAGGGAGGAGGACAAGTCCTCCTTCCCCGCCCCCCAGCTTGTCGGCTAGCTGGCGCGTTAGCATCCACCCAGCGCTACTCCGGTGCGTCCGGGAACGCCTCCGGGGCGGGGCTGGGGTGCTGCGCACGCGGAGTGCAGCAGCGACGCGCCTGCGCCGTGGAGGGCCTGAGGGAGGCGGGGGATTGGTTTGCGAGCGACTGTGCGAGGGGAGGGAGGCGTCCCGGCGGAGCGTGGTACTACGACCAGCGCGGGCCGGAGTGGGCGGGGGGATGCGCCGCGGCGGCGGCGGCGGCGGCGCGGGCTCTGGGGCTGGTGTTTGGCGGCGCCAGAGCAGCGGATCCTGGTCTCGCCGCGGCAGCAGCGCGGGTGTCGTGCACCGCCTGAAGACGGCGTACCTTTCTACCCCCCACTTTTAAAAAAAAAAAAAATAACCGGAACCAATGAACGCAGCCAGGATCAGAGCTCCGGAGGCCGCCGGTGCCGACGGGACCAGGCTGGCGCCCAGCGGGAGCCGGCGTCTGAGGCGGCGGGGGTGGCCGGCGGAGTCGCCGGCGGCGGTGGCGGCGCCTCGAGGAACGGGCGAGGGGCCGGCGGCCCGAGCGCCGCTGCGCTTTCACCCGGCTCCTCCTCCGCGCACTCATCCTGCCTCGATTCCCGGCCCGACCTGGGGCTGGCTGCGGCGGCGGCGCTGGGCTGCGTTGCTGGTGCTTTGGCTGCTGGTGGCCGGTACGGCGGACGGATGCGAGCTGGTGCCCCGGCACCTCCGCGGGCGACGAGCGACTAGCTCTGCCGCAGCAGCCGCCTCCTCTCCCGCTGCGGCAGCCGGCGATAGCCCGGCGCTCATGACAGGTGAGGGGCCGGGGGGTGGCGGGAGGGGCTTGGCCGGCCGCTACGGGACCCCTATCCCGGGCTAAGGCCAGCGTCTCCACCGGACGTCCGCTATTTCATGTCCCTGTCCAGGGCGCGATGCGGAGCCCTGGCTGCTGCTTTGTCGCGGTCCCCTGCACTCCGGATGTCTTCCCTTTTCACCCCAACACCCCGCCCTCGCGGAGCCTCTCGACGGCACTGATTCCCCTCCCTTCAGTCGGGCTCTGATCTTGCAAGCTGAGCAATGCGGTGGTTTCTCTTTCTTGCTGCAGGAGAGCCAGCAGGGTCTGCGGGGGACTGGGGTGATTTTTTTTTTTTTTTTTTGAAGCTGCTAGAAAAAGTCAGCAGCAGCAGCAGCAGCATTGCGGTATTGAGTCTGCCTCTGGTGCTGCTTTTGCAAAGGCAGCTGGCAACGAGTCTCACCGGTTCAAAGCCCCGCTGAGCGCAGCGTCCCAGGGGAGGCTGCTAGAGAGGATTCTTTGAGAGCCATAATACCTAGTGATATTAGTGGTTCCGTGTTAGTGTGCAGAAACGCCCAAGTTTACTGTGCATTTTTTGAGGAATGGAAGGAGGCCGTTATAAATGATGGAAAGTGTTTGGTGGAGCATCACTAGGTGACAAAGGGTGCAGACACCTCAGCAGGTAACAGAAATTATACCTAAAATTTGCAAAGTGCAGGATACTCGGAGCTTGCAGCTAGCAGCACAGTTCTGATGACTGCACCAGCACCTTTTTAATATGGAACGTTCTCGCAATTGAAAACTTGGAAACGTGTTTCATAAGGTTAAGTGCAAAATTATATATTTTTAAAAGCCTTCCGTTGTTATGTACGACTGATTGGTTGTGGTTTAAGTAAAAGTAATGACATAAGGACCCTGAAATTATTTTTTTGGAGCAAAAAGTAATGGAGCTAAAATAGTGCTTTTTTTTTTTTTTTTTTTAAGTATTTCATTTACTTTTAAAGTAGATCTGTAGATTTCCTACAATAATTGTAAGACTAAAAAGTTAGTGGCACAAGATAACCCATGATTAATTTAACCAAAGTGATAGTCCAGCGGGCGTCTGGAAGTTACCAACAGCTTTTCCGAAAAGTGCCAAGGAACTGTATTCTTTAAAGCCAGGCAGTATTCTTTGAGTTCTATGATAGGATATTTACTATTCTAGAGAGAAGGATGTTGGTAATCTTGAAAGGCTTTGGAGGATGTAGCGTATAGAACATAATGATCAGCATGTTTAACTTTACCCTGAAGCATATCAAGCCCTATTAGATGGAACTTGATGCATCAAACCTACCAATTGGTTAACTGGGATAGAGTGATTATAGAATAATCAGTATTAGGAGCATAGTATAGTTTTGAGTGAGAAGATAGTTCGGACAACTTAATGCTTGAATAGTATATATTCTCCAAATAAAAGTGTGGCAAATAACAGTATAGTGAAGAATAGTGATTATTAGGAAAGTTGCTAGATAAGACTATAATTTGAAGATTTAATGCCTCATGCAGGAAGGGAAGGAACAGAAATATATAGCCGTCTAGAAGGTATAAGAGTGGTTCTAGGTTTCTCGAGCAGAAAAATTTGGTTAATAAATAATTGGCTAATGCTTTGTCAAAAATAATTGGTAAAAAGGCAAGCAATTCAGAAAATTTAGTATTTATTGACTGTTAAAAATATACATTGTGTAGGTCACATCAAGAAAATTGCTCAGATGGAATTTTATTTTAATAAGCTATTTGTAATCCTTTTTAAGACTTAAATTTCTCTTTATTTCTTTAAGGCTTTGGGGGAAAAGGTGATTTTTACTGGAAAAAAAATCTGTTGTATCACACAAAATGAGTTTGTGCCATAGGGCTTTAAAATAAGTTTACTAGAAGAATACCCTGGAATTATTTCTAATGTTCTTTTCCTTTCCTTTTGTCAGAATATTGATTTTTGACAAGTTAAACATTTCCACTTAAAGTTTAAATCATAAAACTACACAATACATAAATTAAATTGTTATTTTAATAAGTTTATGTAAATACAGTCAATAGCTCCTATCTTGGAACACGTAAATTGAAAATCTGTGAAGTTAGAAAATATTGAAAATTTCCTTGAATTGTATGGCATCTACAGGACTCTTTCTCATTCTTAAGATTGTATGAATAGTGCTTTCTTTTATGGTTCTATTTGTAAATGGTATGCAAAGCCTAGAACCTAATTTATTAGTGTTAGTGTACACTTCAGGAAGTAAAACCGTAGACTGAATTTACAAAATACTGTGGTGTGATGTCAGATTCTAGGCTGCGTTAATGGATAGAGATGGAGTAGAGCATCAGTAATAAGAGAACTAAACTTCACGTGAATTTTGAAAATAGAAAATTTTTGAAAGCATTCTGAAAAGCATTGATCTCTTTGGCTCCTGACTAAAGTTGTGATTTAGCTGTGAGTACTCTTAATAGCCCTGCAAAATGACAGCCAAAATCACTTTTCTGTTTTCCTCTCGAGATTGGTATTTTTAATACTTACCTTTAGAAATTTTTAATACTTACCTTTAGAAACTTCATAAGAGTTTGCCTTTTACTAATAAAATTTAGAAAAAATTCTTTTTCACTGCAGTTTGCCTCTCAAGTGTTTTACTTTAAGGATTTAGTGTATTTTAAGAATAAATTGCCTTTAAATTATTTACGCTGTGTTTATTTGCTATTGCTATCAAATAAACTATTACTGCTGAAAATTATTTGAGCAAGCCAACTGTTTTTATAGAGCGAGAAGCTTTGACAGATCCAAATAAACAAATGTATTGTCATAATAAATACAGGTTTATGTTTTCTTTTTCTTTTTAAATATTACCTTTTCAAAATTCAGTGTACAAATGTTTTTAATGAGACAAACCAATATTTGTGATATTATATAGAAAGGGTTTTAAGTTATATACACAGCACTTATATATTTAGGGCACTTTGAAAGTGATTGAAATTTAAAGCAAGTTAGGGATAGGTGATGGAGCTTGCTGATTGTATTCTAAAGCAGTGCTTTAATAACTCAAAATGTTACTTTTTTTTCTTCTTTGCCTAACAGATTTAGAGTTGGTGAAGTGATCCTGGTAGGGAGTGATCGATCTCGTTTAGATAGGGTCCCTGAGAAATAGCATATAAAAGGGAAACAAACAAAATTTGCAGAATAATTGAATCATTAAATTATTTTCTTAGGGAATTAATTGGTTCAGAATTTTTACAAGCAAATTTTAACTGAAACTATTTGCCTCTATCCTTTTTTATTTTATTTTTTTTGTAACAGAATTTTGCTCTTGTTACCCAGGCTGGAGTGCAATGGCACGATCTCGGCTCACCGCAACCTCCGCCTCCTGGGTTCAGGCAATTCTCCTGCCTCAGCCTCCTGAATAGCTGGGATTACAGGCACGCTTCACCATGCCCAGCTAATTTTTTTTTTGTATTTTTAGTAGAGACGGGGTTTCACCTTGTTGACCAGGATGGTCTTGATCTCTGGACCTCGTGATCCACCTGCCTCAGCCTCCCAAAGTGCTGGGATTACAGGCTTGAGCCACCACGCCCGGCCGCCTCTATCCTTTTTAAAGAATGGACTAAAGTAGCATTCTTTAGTGCCTATATCAAGGTTTTATCTTAACGGTAATATCCTTTTACTGATTTGGCATGTTAATGGAAATATACATATATAAAAACATGTCTCAGAAGTATTAAAATCTCAATTAAAATGTAATATATTCTTAGTTCAACGTATAATACCATTTACAATGGCCACTTTACCCAGTACTCTTACACACATCTGTGTTGTGGGGCTTTCACTAATTTAGATGGAAATATCTCTAATTAGCATCACTGTCATTGGGAAAATGTTTAACTGAACTTTTAATGAAATCAGTTGTATTCCTAACATTTACACAGTAAATGTTGTTGCCTTATTTATTTTCATTAGTAGTTGGCTTGCCTGTGGGATATATATGTTGCTTCCAGTAATATTTTATGAATAATTTACACGTATTAGTGTTTACATTGTGACAGTTTACTCAAAGTGTATTCAGTAGCATGAGAAACCTTTGTTCCTCTTGTGGTGTTGCTCTTTCTGAACTTCCTAAAGTCATTGTTGGCTGTATCTTCTTTTTCTTTCCCTTTAGTATCATTACCAGTGCTTTTCATCACTAGTCTTTGGCCCTTGCTATACTTTTATTATTGTTGCTAACTACAGGATTAAAGAATCTGCTTGTATCTGTTTGATCTAGTCAATTTTGAACATTTAAGAGTTAGTAATCATCTAATTGGTCCGGAAACATTGCATGGTATTAAGAATACCATGGCAGAACTGACCTCTGTTGGGAATCTCATAGCGCAGGAAGAATTCAGAGGGCCAGTTGGAAAAGTGGGTCCAGATTTAGCTGACTTTTATGCAAAAGGAGGGCACAAGAATGATTTAGCTTGCCAAAGTCTTGCTTTGCGGCTGGATACATGCTAGTATTTTCAGATAAACTTAGGCTCTTTTTGCATAATGATATCAAGGATTTTTGTTAGTGGCCTAATCATTGAGATGGTAATTGTGGTGTGAACACTTTCACAATGATCCTCAGAGATCTGTATTTATGGACTGTGATAGTTAATGTATATGCTGGCTAAGCTAATACTAAAACTAACTGCTAATAATATGGAAAGTAAGCCATTTTTTGACATTTACTAGAGTTTGGACCTTACTTTATTAAGATATACCTAGGAGTATACTTCTGAATTGATCAGGTTTTATTAACTAAATAATTATTAAGCACAAGCAGAATACCACAAAAGAGAAGTGGGAAAGAATTAAAAAAAAAGAGTAAGATGTAGATCTGATGTTTTGGACTCAGACGAGGTAATAACAGGCACATTTATTAAACTATTTCTATGTGTTAGTATTGTGCTAAGTGCTTTTTATGTTATACATCCCTGTTTTTGATTCTAAGACTAGTCCTGTTATATAACTACTGTTTTTTCCCC